GCCACTGCTATGAAATTGAAAAATGGACATCGTCAGAAATAAAAACATACAAAAATAGAAAAAAAAGGAAAACACTTTTAATGTCTGTCAAAAACATCCATTTCTTATCTTCGTCTAATGAATGATATCGAGTTGAATTGTATTCCTAGTCACCTCTATTCGCGTTGTGTATTCATTTCCCTTGCCTGTTGAGAGACATTCTAGCTCAACCATACGCTCACGAGAAACCATAACAAAAACAAATTACTTAAGGAGAGTCATTTAATATTAAGAATAAATGTAATCTTTTGAGTTTGCCTAAACTTTCGGATTTAGGTACCAATTTGAACTTTCGCAGGTAACACTAAACTAAAATGCATGCGAAAAGTTCATTTCATTATAATGAATACCAGTCGTTCATCACAAGAGACAGCAAAGGGATGTATCCATAATGTTTTTTACGACAAGGCTCAAGTAAAATTGAAGAAATGGAGACACAAGAAAGATGGTCCTTGTAGAATTGAACCATGTCACTTTAATATGGATTATCAAAGTTAAAGAAAACTTTAACTCCAACAAATTTACCAAAATATTTTAAACCTCTCATATCACCTGTTATCAGAATCGATAAATATATAAAAAAGTCGACCAAGTATTATCCAGACTACAAACTTCGGCTTGACTGGCCTGCAAGCTAGGCTTAATTTAATCCGGACAGGAGCAGGCTAGCCCAAGTTTTAAGGCATTAACCCGGTCTGGTGATCTGCAGGTGCCTGCCAGGTCGGCAGACCAAGCTGGCAGCTCTGTTCAGAATCTGTTCTATTCGATTCTAAATCGGCTACAGAAACGGATCGAGATGAAAGACTACTCGATCGAACACCAGATTGAGTGTAACAGAATTTTCTTGTATCTGCGACAATCATTTTTGTGTCCATTGTGAATGTTTAAAAGTATAAGTATATTTATAAACGAATACAAAATTACATAGAAAAAAGTCACTGATTCAAAAAAAATATCATTGTATTGTTCGAAATAATAAAAACGAATTTTTAAAAAGAAAAACTGCTTAAAATTCTCTTCGAAAGTATTAATGAAAAGATAAACTAAATTCGTTATGTTCAAGTTCTTTCTCTATTTTTCTCTTAATATTTTTTTTTGAAAATAGACAAAATATAAAAAATAAATTTCATAAAATTCAAGTGATTATTGAAACCTATAGTAAACAATTATAGGATTGATATTTAATTATTGAAATAGAGAGACATCTTTTGATAAAAATAAAAGTAGTTGATTGGATATTTTTTATATAGATATTCAAAATAAATAAAAGAAAAAAAGAAAAGATGTTGATAAAAAATGATTTATTTACCTAAATAAAGATTCAATGTTAGAAAGTTCATCTGTACATATTAATTTAAAATGTGGTTGGCATGGAATATCTAAACAAGGTATCAATAAAACAAATTGTGATCAATCAAAATTAGAAGAAGAATTAATTCTTCTATCTGGACCTTATGGCGATGATGTTGCTTTTGTTAAACAATCAAATGATTATATTCTAATTGGTAAGTTTCCGTTTTTTATTTAAAAAATTTATTTAAATCTAAAATAAAAAAAAATCTAGGTTTATCAGATGGAGTAAGTGGAAATCGTAATCATGGTCTTGATCCATATAAATTTGCTCATACATTAATAAGTTCATGTTTGGAAGAAACTGATCGAATAATTGGTTCATCATCAATGCGTGGTCTTGTTCATCGTGCTATACGTTGTGTTGAAAAACGTTCAATATTTGGTAGTGCAACACTTTGTTTATTATCAATAGATAAACATTCTTCATATCTTCGTTCACTTAATATTGGTGATAGTGGTTTTATGTTAATTAGACAAAATAAATTAATAATTCGTTCACATCCTCAATATCATCGTGGTTCATCACCTTTTCAATTATCATCTCTTCCAACAACACAATCATTTACATCAAATACAACAAGACTTTATCATGATAAGTATGTTTTGTTTTTTTTTTATTTTTTTATTTAAACTTGATAATTTTTAGACCAAGTGATGGAGAATATAATGAACATCATTTAGAAATAGGTGATTTATTATTAATTGCATCAGATGGACTTTTTGACAATCTTTATGAAGATTTTATTGTTCAAATTATAAATAATCATTTAGTAAGTTTTATTTTTTGAATTAAATAAAAGATATATATACATATGTTTTGAACTAAACAAAAATAGGATGATCAATACTCAGTGGAATCATTACAAAATGTGTGTCAAATGCTTGTTCAATCAGCATGTCATGGTAAAATTCAATTTGATTTATTTATTTATTTTTTTTAATATTTTATTTAAATATTAATGAAATAATTTTAGCTCATATAAAATGTGATGATATTCTTGTATTATTATTTTGTGTTGTACCTTGTTCTGCGATATCGAATGGTGAAATAAACGGAAATAGGAAAAGTACATCATGTTCATCATCAGATTCTTCATTATCTTCTATATTAGTTAATCAAAATGAAGAAGAGTCATTTGATTTATTTATATTTAAAGATTCAAATTAGTTTTTTTCTCAGATAGAATTTCTTTTTCTTTCTTGTCTTTGTCATTTGTAATATGTCCTAGTCGTTGGTGCTCACTAAGAAAAAAAAAACAGTGTGTGTCAGATTATTGTTCAGAACCTGTTTAACAGTGTATATTTGTTTTGCCTGTAGTCGTGTGTGTGTGTCAGATTCATACGGAACCTTTTCGTTATGTCTCATTTCTTCGTAAATCGGCCGCAATCATTCGGAGTGATTGAATAATTAGATCTTCAATACATTTTAATTAAATAAATTTCTTTGACCAATAACAACTATTTTTATGTAAATTTCATCTATTTTCCAAAACCATTGATCAATTAATTATCTTTACGATCAATCATAATAATATTTCATATATTGCCAAATTTTTATAGATCATTCATTCCTATAGAATCAATTATTCAATATTTTGTTTTGTTTTATATCCAGAAAAACAAGACATATCGATGTCTCGATTACATTAGTATTATTTCATAAAAAGAATGTGAAGAAAAAATGATGGTTTAACATCAGAACCATGTTGTTTTTATGAAATAATACTACTGTAATCGAGCAATCGACATCGCTTATTCTTTTCGATAGTAAGCAAAACAAAATATATAGCTCGTAATTCTTCTATTTGCCTCTCATTATACATATTTGCGTACCAAAGGTATATCGATAAGAATTGTGTTTCTGAACTTAGTCTGATTTTCTTCTGCGTATTCTTAGGACTATTACAATCGAGTAATAAATTTCATCGAAATACAAACGCGATACATGTACAAATTTTTTCTTTTCTGATGTCAAATAATTCTTGCTATTTTAATGACAAATTTACGACAACGGTTTCATAAAGTAAAAGTAAAATCACGTCGGATGTTATCACAATTTCACAAGCTCGTAAATGAATCACTATTTAGAAACATGGCAGCATGTATCAGAGACTGAAACGAGTTGAGAACTATTTTTCTTGAGGTGAGGAAAGATTACGACATCACAAGGAGAAGTTACAACAGGAAGAGAAGCCTACGACGAAGCGAAGCGGGACGAGGAGAGGTTATGACGGGGCAGGGTTATTAGCATGTCGCTTATACTCAGAATCATATAGTTTAGCTGCTGTCGAAAGAAAGTTTTCGGCAGTAGGTCAAGTTATCAGCTACAAAAGATCTAGTTTAGACCCAACAGCTGTCACTCATATTTTATTTCTTCGTTTGATAGAGAACAAAGTAAAAGATCGATTGACCTGGAGATATGCCTTTTTTGTCCTCCTATCCATAAAAAAAATAGAAAAAAAAGCATTTGAACGCTTTCTTTCTTTTTAGCATACGTATTTTTGCTAGAATATTTGCGCGTTTTCTACAAGCATTTAAATGCGTTTTTTATAAATCAAAACACTTAAAAAGTTAGCGAAACGTGTTTTTCTTCAAAAAACTACGAATCAAAAAAGAACTCTTTCAGTCTGTTCATAAGAAAACTCCTGTTCTCCATAAAAAAGGCATTAACAAAAATGCGTTTAAACACATTGCAAGAAAATCTATTTTAAACGAGTTTCTGTTAAGAAAAATGTTTTTTTTTCTTTATGAAAGTCTTGAAACGCTGTTTTTAAACGATGTTTCGAGTTGATAAAACGCGTCGAAAAAATATCGATACATTTAAACACAGGAGTAGCGTTTTTTCTCCTAAACTGTGTGTTGAAATGCAGTTTTTCTATCAAATTTTTTGTGAATGTGCCTATTTTTTTGTACTTTTGTGTTCTTGTGTCTATTTTTTGCGACATGTAGTTAAATAAATCAAATGATCCAAAGATAGAAGTATTTTATAAGGACGTGTGGAAGAACGAAGAAAAAGATTAAGGTCGGGGCGGGGAACAGAATGTTCTCCTCCTTTCGACCTCTGGCGTGTATCGAAAATGACTTATTCTGACGAGTTTTGCTCTTCGATTTAATTAATTCAATGAAATTGAAATCATTGAGGATTTTCCCTATCGGTTGATTGTTAAGTGGGATACTTACTTTATTTGTGGAAAAAATTCACCATTTCATCTACAAAATATAATCCAAGATTATTTCGTGAACCATTGGATGAAACATTAGTATAGGAGTGATGTGTGTCAGCAACGACACGTTTGAGAGGGTTATTTTTTCAATTTAGAATTTAGTCTTCTTTCTATTTTTAATTTCAAATTACACTAAATAGCAAGCAATCACCTTAGAAAAAGCTAACATTTGGTAACAATGGCGGAAATTGCGTGATACCAACTAAAGATCCAGATTTGCAAAATTTG